CCGCTGCCCTGCGGCGCCCCCTGCCGGCGCATGGGGGCACGGGGGAAGCCCAAGCCCCGCTCAGGCACCAAAGCCCCGCTCAGGCACCAAAGCCCCGCTCAGGCACCAAAGCCCCGCTCAGGCACCAAAGCCCCGCTCAGGCACCAAAGCCCCGCTTAGGGAGCGCCCAGCACCGCTCTCACGACCCCCCTTCCAGTGTGGGGCCGTACCGGCTAAGGCTCAGCCCGCTTCCCCATCGCTGCGCCGTGGGAACTGCGTTCCCAGGAGGCATTTGTTCCGTTTGTGATCCATCGGCTGCTGTTACCGTACCGTGACTGGGCTTAAGTTAATATAAAGTGTCAAGTGCCATTTTAGAACGCCGCTTTTAAGCTGAGGAAGCCACTGAAATGCCTCCCTTTTTGAGCTTGTGTCACAAGTCATAAAATCTTTGCAAAGCAGCAAAGCATCCCACCTCCCGGGCTTAACGCGCGGCAGAAGCGCCTGCAGCCAGCGCGTCCCTATGCCCGATTCTCCTCTGCCTTATTTTGCACCATATATGGGCTGGATCCAGAGAATTCCTTTCATTGACTGCACTGGAACTGGCTCTGCACGAGCTGCTCAGCAAGGAGGCAGTGAAGCATCACACCCTGTATTATCTACCAAATTAGACAAAAAGACGAGGAGTGACTCATTTCAACCTTTTTCATCTCCCCAGGCATTCTTTCTCTCCCCCTCTCTCACAGACACACACACACACATTTAAATTTCACCCAGTGCTGCAGGCTTGGGAATTTTGCAGAGATTTGCTGCTTCGCATAAGGCAGCCAGCTCTGCACAGCTCCCACCTCTGCACTTACTCCTCAGGACTGCGCCTAACCCAAGCTCACACTGGGAAAGGACTGGAATTTGGCACAAGCCCTGCAAAGCTGGGATTGGGGCACAGCTCTACCACACAAATCTGCTCTGGGCACTGCACCCCCTTCTCTGCTCTGTCCCCCCCCCATCTCCCTGCTGTCAGAAAGGCCAAATTTTGGCTGCTTCTTTGCTCTCTGCTGAGTAAGTTTCCTTCTAATCTCAATAAAGCCTCCAGGATTTGAGCCCAGCCAACACAGATAAATCGTTGGCTTTGGCCTAAAAGTCAGCCAATTTAGCCTTGGCGTATTTGCTCCGTCAGAGGTCACTGAGAAGCTGAGATTTACTGAAGACACTTGCTTTTTCTTGGCTTTGTGGTCAAAAACAAGTCCCTCGGTGACACTCTAACACCTGCTGTTCTTTTATGAGGCAAACCACTATGCTTCTGGGAAGAGGTAAGTTCCTGTGGTTTACGAGGCTTTTTCTACCTCTGATGTCACTGTTATCCTAAAAAACCCCAAGTGAAGAGGGCACTGACAACCAGCGTACCGCCCAGAGCAACGCTGCTGCACTGGCAGGAGCGGGGCGGCCAGTTTAAATGAGCTTTCTGGGGTTCCCTGTGAACGCTCTGCCAAATGCCAAGCGAGCAGTTGCTTGTCTTTTCTTACTGACAATTTGACTAATTTTTTGCTGCAACTGTATTCATAAATTTTTATGATTCCTTTGCTGAAGACACAGTGGATACTGAACCTCTGCTTTTATCTCTCTTGAAAAAAACCACCATAAACCTCTCTCTAGATTTTGGATAGCATTCCAGGCTGGGGGATCTACTTCTCCATCAAAGCTGTACATGCCGATGTCTGCTAAAGAGCCTGTAGTTTATTCCCGGGCCTGGACCTGCAAATTGGCAAGGAATTTGTGGTCTAGGACAGGGAATGCGTGAAATGGGCAACGTTTGGGCAAGCCATTTCTGAAACAGATCTTGAAGTTCTGTTAACTGGGTTCCAACGCTCAGTAGCCCACTGAGAACCCCCTGACCAATGCAGGCATGTGGAGACCTGAAATGCGAACGAGTCATTGGAGTCCTTCTCCCTGAAGACTTTAGTGAATTAATTTGCATCTGCAGAAAAAGAAACCTGATGCGCTCTACCAACGACGGGCAAATGAAAAACACCCAGAGGCTTCTGCTGCCACAGCTGTTTCTCTTTCTTTGTGGGAAGAAGTGTGGTGGAGCCACAACTTTGTGCTGTCACTGACATTGAAGATGGCTGCAGGAGAGCCTGCATGAAGAGAAAGTGGAGCAGCAGACCTTTGGCACAGCCAAGACAAGCAATGGCGTGGAGCATCCCTCTTCCCAAGGTAAATCCCAGGTGCCATGGGCCACATCCTGCCCCTGGGAAGTCAGGCGTAGTGCACAGGCAACAGCAGCAAAGATCTGGGGAGGGAGAGGGCAGGGGGAATTTACAGTCTTCATTGCCACTTCAGTGATAGCAGAGGCAAACTGGGTCTCTGTGGTCTCTTCAGCTCCAGGGAAGGTCTTGTGCTTTTGAGAGGCTCATTGTCAGCATCCTACAAACTACAAAGTGTCACCCTGGTAACTCTTAATCCTGTTTCGGCACAGATTGTTCTGCATGCTCTCTCATCTGCGGAGTTTAAAGGATGAAGCTGTCACTGGGGAAATGTTCCGATTCTGACATTTTTGAGATAAATTGACACAAAGAAAATATAGTTTATTAAAATGGTGCAAGATGTTGTGGTTCCTATTTATATAGGAGTTTCAAAACGCATTTGTTTACAGACAGTTCCTGCAATTGGATCGATGCAGGAATATTCCCCCATGGCGAGTGGGGAAGGCGTGCCAAGTGCAGTGTGTCCCATCTTCACCTTTTGGCTTTCATGGCTACCCCGCATTTATAACAGAGATGATAATAAAGCAAACACCAGCCGTTTACTATTTTAATGAATACCAGATCCTTCCCCAATACTGGGGAAACCTGGACTTCAGCTCTCTGCATCCCCTTTGCTGGGCTCTACAAGGCTTGGAAACCCTCAAAAATTGGCTAAAATGTCGCCAGGGAAGGGAATGTTTCTCCACGGGCTGGAACTGGGGATCCTCTCTCTGCTTCCAGAGCAGGGGGGATGCTTTGCCGCTCCCACTGCCCCTGCAGCCCACCGTCCTCGCTGACTTCGGCAGGTTTCACAGTTTATGGATTTCATCTGCAAGAAGTACCTAGGAAGATCAAATCCCTATATGCCATCCTGTCCTATTTGCACCTCTTTGGATAAATCTTTGCAGATATATAACCTGAAAGCAAGAGTTTATCTGCAGAGGCATATGTACTGCACATACGTGCCACAGCCCCCAAAGTAAGCACCTTCCTTCGGTCACCTTTGGCTGTTAGGAGCAGGAGCAGTAACCTGGTTTTCTTTTCAAAAGGCCTTTGAAAACAGGAGCCTTATTTGACTCGGTACAGAAGTGCCTTTTTTAGAAACTCCCTCAGAAATATTAATTTCAAAGAGTGCAAAGGTTCTGATTAAGGTATTTTTGTTGCCTTTATCGAGGTGGGTTTTCTTCTTTTCTGTGAACAGTTTAATCGCTTCTGTCTGCAGCTTTTTTGCAGAGCACTTGCAGAAGTGGTGTCCACCTCTAGATGGTGTGTTTGACTCAGAAGAACTTGATGCCTGGGCCTTTACATAACTTTTGCTCGCTTGTCTGAGGTTGCAAACACTCTCCAACCCAACCACACGGATTCTAGTGTTTCCTTGTTTTCTTAACATGAGAATCTGGCTGCATGTAATGCAAAAATGATAAAAATATATTACTTAGATGCTTCAAAAACGTGTATTCTATGGCACATTTGGTTGGACATGTGAGGTATCTACTAAGGACATGGTTTAGCGGTCAACTTGGCGGTGATAGGTTAACGGTTGGACTCGATGATCTTAAGGGTCTTTTCCAACCTTAATGATTCTATGATTCTTCTATGTAACGTATCTGCTATGTAACTGATAACATTGCATGTCTTCTGGGTTTATTTCTGTGCTAACTAAATTTAAACAGGATCTAATTTTTTCTAATACGATGCCTCTGCTCTTGTACTTGAATGCAAAGAAAGAGTGAAGGAACAAAGACGGGTAACACCACAAGGCTAAAATGGTGGTGGTGTTGCGATACCTAACTCTGTCCATAGTATTTATACTTGTTTCTCTGGATGGCATAGGATGGAGCTATGAAGCTTTGGAGGAAAAAAAAGTGTTTTAGCAAGTGCGTAGCATTCCCACAAACTTTTGAAGCTCTTTGAGAGCTGTAGGCTGCTTGGGCAGATGACTTCTGACTGTTGTAAGATGGTTTCTGTGGGGCATGCTGCCCAAAAGGCTAAAAAACTCTGTCCAGGTATTAATTAATTAAGATTTAAAACTTTTCTGTGAGGCAGATTAAGTGATCCTGACATGGTCTTCATGTCCCAGGCCCCTTTCAGGACATCACAGCTGCTCTTAATATGCAGCACAACA